AGGTCCGGTTCCAGAGGTGGTAGGAGCTGGACCCAGCCTTGAGAAAGCATCCACAGTAAACCCAATATCTTCAACACAAAGACATCTGAAGAAAGAAAAAAATTCTGAAACCAATTATAGATCAGGCTGAATCTGAAGACCTTTTTAAAGAACATTAACAAATAGAATAAAATAAAATAGGTGGTCCATCATTTTTAAAAATGTAGTTTTATTTATTTATAAAAAATTTCAGTGTTTATTTTTGAGAGAGAGAGAGAGAGCTCGCGCGCGCATGAGTGGGGGAGGGGCAGAGAGAGAGGGAGACACAGAATCCGAAGCAGGCTCCGGGCTCTGAGCTGTGAGCACAGAGCCCAATGTGGGGCTTGAACCCACAAACCGTGAGATCATGACCTGAGCCCAAGTCGGAAACTCAACTGACTGAGCCACCCAGGCGCCTCCCTAAAATGTAGTTTTTCTTCAAATCAAAGGATGTACTTACACAGTAGAACAACCTTCAAACATTCCAGTGTTTATAAAAAATGGGCACACGATAGTGGTCTTGATCCCCTTTAGTTTCTGGACTATTGTTTCTGTAAATACAGATTCAGCAAATCCACAGGCTGCAAATTTACTTGCACAGTAATCTGAAAAAGGCAAATGACACTAATGTCTATACTGGAATTTTCAAACGGCATTACATCGAGGTTTCCTCGTAACACTAATACCGACAAAGGATGGGACAAGTTCAGAGTTAGTTTGTATGGCCTTGGTCTGTGCCCACTGGAGGAAGCGAGGGGCGAGTGGGAAGGAACACTGTCACTTCAAGTTTGGTTGACAAGGACCAAGGGCCCTCTCGGAGAAGCAGGGCCCCGGGGGTGCCTCCCGCGGGTCACAATGCTAGACTTCACTTCCACTTTCACCTTGACGGGTCGTCAGACCCTCTGCTAGCTGTTACGCAGGGCACAGCATGTGCAACTGGTCCCCGTCCCAAAGAATTTCAACACAATCAGGGTGGGGAGACACACACAAGAATAAATAAAATAATACAGGAGGTAGAGTCCAGGCTGAAGAGATCAACGTGGGTCACAACCCTCAGATCAAGTTTTTTCCTAACTAGGACTCTTTCTTCCGACTCTTCTGGAGAACGTCAACCTCCACCTCTTATGCATCCTGCAAATGCAGGGTGAATGGAAAGTGGCCTTCACGTCCTTGGTGGGCTTTTGGTCTACAATTGCACTCACTCCAGAGGAATGGAATTACTCATCGTGCTAGATGGCCAAGCTAGACCCAGGGAACGTTAAAACAATATAGATTTTGAACTCAAGGCATGGAAACGTTTGGAGAAGAAAAGGCATTTCGGTAGACTTTGACTTTCCTTTTCCTCACACAATCAGAAGGGGCAAACCTGTTGTTCATCCTTGTTCTGGAGGGAAAGCAGCTACCGCAACCAGCAAGACTCGGGTCCCCAGATTGGCCACGGGTTAGCCGGTGGGGGGAGGGGAGGGGAGAGGGGGAGTCCCAAGCAGCTTCCAGGGTCCTCTGAGTCATTTGGTGTAAATGCGGTTCACTGAGCCCCTTGATCTCTGAGATTCAGATGAGCCGATATGGCCCAGGACTCGGTCAGCCTGCATCCTAAATGGCACGCCAAGAGAACACCGTGGGGATTACAAAAAGCTCACACGTTCCTAAGGTGAACAGGGCACCGGACGGTCTTGCATCTTTAGACAGATGTGCCAGGAAAAGGATTCAGAGAAGCTGCAAATAGCCCCGTGTGAGTTCAAAGACCCGTGAGGTAATAACAAAATGCGGTGGATTCCAAGGAAGCTGGAGGAAAGGAGGTCCTGCGTTCAGGGAGGTGTGTGTAGACGGGTAGCATCTGGGGTGGCCAGTGGTTCTGAAAACCCGGTTCGCGGAACCGATTCGAACTGTGTTAAGACCACTGTGCGCCGTCTTGAGCCGCGAGTCTTCAACCAGCGGAAAAGCAGAGAGGTCGATTTTCGGTTTCTTGGGCTGGAGAAAGTTTCTCCAGACCCACAGCCGAAGGGGACCACTCGATGGAAACTTCTGCAGGCCCAGTGCTTCTCCTCACCACCCTGATAACAGTACCAGGGGGATTTGGGGGGGGGAGGGGGACTATGCTAACCACTTGTATAAAAAAATTAGCAGTCAGGTGTCTCTCTCTCTCTTTCTTTCTCTCTTTTAAATGTTTATTTATTTTGAGAGAGAGAGGGGGGGGCACAAGCAGGGGAGGGGCAGAGAGAGAGGGAGAGAGAGAATCTCAAGCAGGCTCCACAGAGCACACAGCCTGAGGCAGGGCTCGATCTCGTGAACTGTGAGATCATGACCTGAGTTGAAATCAAGAGTCGGACGCTTAAGTGATGGAGCCACCCAGGCACTGCTCTTTCTCTTTTTTTCATTCCAGGGGATTGCATGGACCCAACGATCCCAAAGTGCAGAGTTCAAGTTTGTGTAAGCATATCTGATGGGCAGTTTTGAGGCACAATGTTCTCCACCACTTACCTTGTGGAATATATCTCTTGATTTATTCCCCTTTATCATTAGTACCTGAGGTCAATGTTGATTATTCAGAGCTGAGTAAGACAAGTTATAAAAGAGTTTGTGAGTGCAAAATATTACATTTCTCTTACCTGCCAGTTTATTTACTCCAACTAATCCAGCTGAACTTGAAATGCAAACCAAATGGCCATGATCATTAGCTATCATAGCAGGTAGAAAGCATTTATACGTCTAAGAAAGGCAAAGAAGACTGTTAACCTTTTATACTTTTTTTCAGACGTTTCTGTATGATGAAGAAAGTCTTTTAAGTTCATAAAAATACCTGAAGGCACGGGGATATAAAAATTTAAACATCTGGAAAGTAAGCTTCTTAACTTGTTTAACCTTTAAATCAATATTTTTCTGATGGCAGTTCTAATAGTATTAAAAATAATTTATTCAGACTTACATTTTGCTCACATTTGACTTTCAAAAACACACTATTCAGACAGTAATTGAAGCTGTACAGGACAGCCTGAACTATGGTGGGAAATAAATAAACTTAAAAAACTAAATAAAAACATCACTTCGTCTTGAAATTCATCTCTACTTCTTTGAATAATGGTTTCTTATTTGTATGTCATGTCATTAAAGAGAATATGCTAGAAAAAGAGGACCTATGCTGTGTCTCAGTACTACAGAACACCTTCACTTTTGATTTGGGACCTGGAAAGAAAGAAGGTAAAGGAGAGAGAAATGAGCTTTGATAGAAGATATATTCTACAACAAAAAAGTAATTCATTAAACAGGAATAACTGCATACTTACATGAATTTATGTTTCATATTTACTTTCAAATGTGAGTAATACGAATAAATATGAGAAAAGGGATTTCTTATAAAAGTCAAAGAACGTTTGCATGCATCGAATGAGTTTCAGAAAGAAACTAACACGTAGGGAGAGGTGGAAAAACAAAATGAGCCAACAGTGCAGCATAATAAAAAGCCCCCTGAGTTCCGACAGTCTGAGGTGAGTCACTTCTTCCCGGGGACGCATCCCTTGGGAGCATGGTCACCATGAGCTCTCTGACCCTCTAGCAAGTAAGTGCCTGCTCCGTGCAGAGGCTCAAAGAATGTATGCAGACTTGCCCAGACAGAGTGTCAAGAGTGAGGCTAATGTGGGGCAGGGACACGTCAGCATTGTGGGGACAACTAAAGGAAGAGGGAGAGAGAAGGAAAAGACCAAGGACAACAGAGAGGAGGAAAAAGAACCCAACATGAGATTATGGCTTTATCTTCATTCTGGCTGAATAATCTAATTTCATTCTAAAGAAGGAGAGGCACATTTGGGACAGGGTAACATAAATCACTTGCAGCAGCTCCTGAAGGAACGTGGCGGCCGCTTAGTTCTGAATGTTTCCATCTTTCTCCTGGAAACGATACAGAATGCCAAAAATACCACCACGCAAGGATGCTTTTGGTGAAACTAGGGGACAGAAACCTACGAAGTCCAAATAACATTTGAAGGCCACCACATGGGAGTTGGGTGGGGAGGTCAGGTGGGAAAGCGTGAGGAGAGGGGAGCTCAGGAGTCTCCAGCAAATACTCCCTCCCAGCAGAGAGGCTGCCCAGGGCAACAGGAACAGGGAGAGGCAAGCCGGGGCATATGAGTGGGTGCGGAGGCATGGCAAGACAGGCTTCAGCAAAGACCAGGAAAACACAGCTTCTGCAAGGAAGACCATCATCTCTGGAGATCAGGAGCTGTGCCCCTTAACGTCCGTGGTACCTGTGCTGTGCCCTTTAATGTCACCGAGGCTACAGGAAGAAACTTTCCTTTCCTTGATTGGATACTGAGCCAGGTGACGATACATCTTGGTTTGCCCAGAATAGACCTGATTAATGCCTGCTTATTAATAATGCCCTCTTCCACTTTATTTTATTTTATTTTTTGTTATTTCTAGATTTTTTACCTCCTCCACTTTCAAAAGAGTTCCAACTTAGGCAAATGATAAGGTCAGCCTGGTCATGTATGTGGTGTCATTTCTGTGTAGCCTCGAGCAAATCTTTTAACTCCTCTGATCCCTCATTTCATCGAGCTGTATCAAGGATTATGCAGGAGGTGCCTAGGATAGCACCCGAGATAGGCTGGCGATCGATAAATGAGAGTAAAGACATGGGCAAAGTTGTGTCTTTGCAAGATTCCTGAGCAGGGGCTCAGGCAAGTGCAGGCTAAGTTGGATCAGGAGTCTAAAACTGAGAAGCCTGTGCTTTATTTACACGTGAATACAATTCTAAGAGAATAAGAAGAAGTACGTCTAAATTCCGAGTAACTGTATATTTGTTATGAGACGAAAAAATAATTACCCATAAATGTGCTTTGAAATTCACATCTAAAGACTTTTCCATCAGGTCATCTGGGCAGTTGAGGAAATCGCTGCCTGTCACAACTCCGGCATTGTTGATCAGGATGGAGACATCGCCAACTTCTTTTTTAACCTGAATTGAGTAACAAGAGCCACACCACCCACAGAGTAATTCCTTACGTGATCGAAGTTTAATTTTCCCATAGTTTTTAGATGCTTCTTATCCTTGTTAACACAGACGGGGTTTCCGTCCTTTGCAAACAAAGCACGTTTCATTTGCCTTGCTGAGTTTGCAGAGCGTCAGAGATCCAAGTCTGATGGTTTTCTTCTCCTTTCTTCCCCCCTCCGTGCCCCCCTTCTTAGGACGGTTCCAACACTGCAGGGCCGTCGGCCTTAACAGAGCGGTTAGAGCTATCCTCATACTTAGCGATCAGTCGCTTTGTGGCAGGCTCTGTGTATGTAGCAGGTGATTTCAATCACTGCGACAGGACCTAAGGCATTATAGGCGTGACGTATAAATTAAGACCCAGCCCACACTGAGAGGGGGGTGGAGCAGGAGGGTGTGGAGAAAGCGCAAAATTCCTAAACACGTTTTACACTGGAGGAACAGCACAGAACCCGTCTGTCCTGCTTGGGCTAGTGGGCTGGTTTTCTTCTCCCTGACACAGGCTTCTGGGTACTAAGATGTGTCAAGAGAGGATCTGAGTGGGCTCCCTTTGCCGGCCGGAGTAGGCACTCAGTAGCTTTTATTTCAGGAATAAAATGTCTGGGTGTGACCCTGGGGCCTTCCGCTTATGGTGAATCTTTAGCTTGTCATCTTGGCTCTACTGGCAGAAGGGAGCACGGGATTTTCCAGGATTGGCCACGGGAGAGGGTGGTGCCCCTCTGCTCCCTTCTGTGTTCTGAATTTCATCACTGTGATCTGTATCACACAGCAGGGCCTCTGTCCCCAGGTCAGCGGCAGCCACTGGCTGCAGGTGCCCCATGCTCAACAGTAAGCTCACGCAGTACTCTCACATCTCTAGCTGTGTGTGTGTGTGTGTGTGTGTGTGTGTGTGTGTGTGCGTGTGTGCACCTGCGTATACGGTAGCAGTCGGCACAGAGGGGGGCATATTACTGACACCACCTGAGGCTGTCTGTCATCTGAGGTTGTGGGTCCTAGCAACGAGGCTGATGTGTTGGGTATTTATTTGTTACCCAACTAGATGGGTGGCCTAGGGAAAAACCTTAGGACGAAATACAGACTAAGAAAAGCTCACACTTCATGGTAGTGTTTTCAGATAAAAGCATCCAAAACAATCTAAATTAGAGTTTTATTTGGAGAGTAGCTAAAATACGTCGCCAAATTCAAGCTGAACGGCTGTCAAGGCTAGCCACAACCAGCCCTACCTGAGGCAGAATCAGGTACGGCCTTCGGTCACGGAATAATGAGCAAACCACAGGAACGGAAGGCACAGCGCGAGGAATGTCACCAATGGTACTGTGGTAGTGTTGCACGGTGACACCACACCTGTGGTGAGTGGGCCGTGACACATAACAGTGTTACCACGTCACCATGTTGGACACCTGAAGCCAGTGTGCCATTGTGTGTCAACTACACTCAACTGAAAAAAAAAAAAAAGAAAGAAAGAAAAGCTGGTCCGGGCTGTGGACCGGAAGACAGTACTAGCATTAGAGGCTGACATGTTAGCTCAGAGTCAGGGGTGGCAAGGCTAGAAGTGACATCCAAGGGAAATAAACAGGGACATGTATGTCCACTGTGGCCTCTCACATAGATCAAGCGTGTTCTCAAACACTTGACCAAATAAACATCAGACTCTAATTTCAAAATGGCCTCCAGGGGCACCTGGGTGGCTGCGTCTGTTGAGCCTCTGACTTTGGCTCAGGTCACGATCTCACAGTTCGTGGGTTCGAGCCCCATGTTGGGCTCTGTGCTGACAGCTCAGAGCCTGGAGCCTGCCTCGGATTCTGTGTCTCCCTCTCTCTCTGCACCCCCCTTCCCCACCGGTGACTTATGCTCTGTCTCTCTCTGTCTCTCAAAAATAAATAAATTAAATAAAAATTAAATAAATTAATTCATTACATTAAACATTTTTTTAAATGGCATTTAGGCATGTATCTTTGCAGTATATGAAAATTATATCTCTATGAATCATGCTTTAAATGTACGGGGCTAAGCATCCGTGATAAGATTTTTCATGTGAATAACCTTCCTTCCTATTGATTTATCTATTTAGCATATAGGTTGATCTTCATCTATTTTTTTTTTTTCTGTTAAAGGACTCTCTTGTTCCAAAGTCTGCTTTTTCCCTTTAAATTAAACTTGGAAAGACATCATGAGTATTCAGCCCCTGCCACACTAGAGCCAAAGGGACCAGGTTTAACTGTATGTGACTTACATATTTATTACTGACCAATGACAGCCTAATAAAATGCTCACCCATGGGATGAGAGTAAGCTTGTCAGTATCGTGTACAAGAGACAGCATCTAAGGTAAGCCACCTACTAAGATGCTAAGGTAGCATCTAAGGTAAAGGCCACCGACTCTAGTTTTTAACTAGTTTCCTTCTTCTGCAATCACTACGCTCCTCACTGTAAGAATATGGCCACAGACCCCGCCTGATAGGTCTAGTGACATTCCCACACAAGCTGTGCCCGCCTGTCAGTTAAGCACTGAACTTTGGCTCAGGTCACGATCTCACAGTTTGTGGGATCGTGGGTTCGTACCCCGTGTAGGGCTCTGTGCCGACAGCGTGGGGCCTGGCGCCTGCTTCGGATCCTGTCTCTCTCGCTCTCTCAAAAATAAGTAAACATGAGGAGTGTTGAGAGGAGTTGTTTGCAGTTGGCACGAGTGAGCATGCCAGGCCATCGGTGCTTTAAGTGCACAGGGATGAAGCTGCGAGCTCAGCAATAGCAGAGACATACTTGTGCTTCGAGGGAGGCGCGCACTTGTCAGGTTTGGGTCCCCGGACTGTACCGGGCTGGCTGTGACGGAGGCTGCAGTTACCGATGCAGAAAACTGAAACAAAACTTCAAAGCACACCCACCAGCCGGTGACCTGCCAACCTTACCAGGAGACAGTGAGGTGGGAAGCAGCAAAGGGGATTCGACTCAGGGCCTAGAAATTGTGCCAGAAATTCCAACGTGGCGGGTTCCTTCCTTCTCACTAAACTGGGGAATTCTGGGTGTTGCCACAAGGGCGGCCCAGGACAGTGATGTGTGGAGTACTCATGAGGACGCGAGGGGAGAGAAATCCTCATGAGGGAGAAGAGGCAGCCATCGTGCGACTATGTGCCTCCATGCACTAAGGAAACCCTTACCGTTGCATGCTGGAGTGGTGACGTCCTGCCAGCCTTCTTTACACGGGCAGTGGTATCATCGCCAAAGGAGCAACTGTGGTTAAGGGTCTTTGGGATGAATACGATCTTCTGTTTTTCTCATGACTATTTAGGCGAAATATACCTTCATGTGAAAGGCACTGTGGTGTGGTGGAAATAGCTGGGTTTAAACTCAGACAGGAAATGGGGTCGAGTCCTGGCTTAGTCACGGGCTAGCTCCGGGACCCTGAGCAGATTGTTCAAGATCTCTGTGCCCCCTTTTCCCTCCAAGAAACGGGCTGCCCCCTGCCTCTTCTACTGTAACAGGAGAAAGCACAGTCCATATTGCCTGGTATGTAGTGGGAGTATTCTGGAGTCAACAGACTCAAGGCCAAGCTCGGTCTTTGCCACTTGTTAGCGGTTTCTTGGGTGAGCTACTTACCTCCCTCAGCCTCGGTTTCCTTATTTGTGAAATGAAGATAATATTGGACCTCACTTTATAAGATTATGATACAATATAGATGGGCTGCTTAGTATGGTATATTGTATACAGTGACCTCTCAAAAATCCTCATTCCCACTCCCTGATACTTTTTAAATTAAAGGGATGCTGGAGACAGGCAAATCTGCACTGAGCAAGGGGTTGAGACAAAGAGGAGGATGCACGTGAGCGAATCTATAGAGAGAGCTCACCGCCCACAGGAGATGGCGAGACGCAACACCTACCTGCTCGGCCACTCTGTATATTTCTTCCTTTTGGCTGCAGTCGCAAGTGTAGGCATAGACTCTTGTGGCTCCGGCTTCCCGAGCCATCCTGCATGTTTCCTCGTTCCCCTCCTTGTTGATATCCCAGAGAACCAGCACCGATCCGAGGTGGGCAAATCTGAGGGCCAAGAGCCTTCCCAGTCCTCTCCCAGCACCGGTGATGAGCACGATTTCACCAGCAACGTTCTTCCGTGGTCTGGGGATGAAGGTGAAAATCAGGGTCTCCAGAAGAGCAATCACTGATTTTCCTAAGAAGGTGATCAATTCCTTGGCGAACTTCAGGTTGGAAGCCATGCTGTGGCTGAGACCTACAGAGAAAGAGAGACCCACATAAAGACCTCGGTGACCATTCCCTCTGAGTGTGCCATCTACGTGGAGCGCAAGCTTTCTGAGATAGTGGAAGAAACTGGCTGTGTAATTTAAGCTTCTCTCTTGGTAGCAGATTCTGAACTTAGAAAGCGCAGGGGGCCCACAGAGACTGCATCTTGGCCAACTTTCATTCGCAGCACCAAGCTGGGCACACATCTGAGTGCTGTACAGGACAGAAATGTTCACTCCCCAGGCACTGTAACCGTGTCAACATTTGACCCGAAGAAGAAGAAAATTATTTCTCGTAGTTAACCTTTCTTAATAGTAATCACAAAAGCCCTGTTGGTTGCATCATGTGCTTGACTGCAATGCTGGCCCACAGTATGTGCTTTGGGGACGTCATCATGTTACTCAGGTTCAGAGTGCTGCTCCCCAAGAAGTCACCTGATAGGTTTGTTGAATGAATAAAAGGCCTGCCCTGTCACTCGTACAGGGCCATAGCTTACATCCTGTTATCAGTTACTCACACGTTAGTGAGAGTGAGTTTACAAGATGCTTTACGAAAGGCTCGCTGGGAAAGAAGGGTAGGTCTTATTTCCTGCAGTGTGAGAAGACATGTTTAGCAGGGGGGCTACTGTGCTGGGGGTGGGAAGCTTCCCTGAATGGGGTGCCCGATTGAGAGGCACAGAAGAGGTGAGGAGGTGTCCTTCATTAAAGAACAGCAGGTGGTCACTTGTTTTGCAGTTTGGTGGAGGACAGACTAGTCACGGCTCATGACGATGGGTGGAGAGGTTCATCGACAGCAGGGCTTGGGGCCTGGTGGGACCCTTAGGAAATTGTTGGGAGCTCAATTGCTGTTTCTTGTCTCATTCTACGGATGGAGCTGGAGATCACAACGAATGGGGATGTGGTTCACCCAAGGCCTTGGCTGCCGTTTAGCGCAGGGCCTGCTGAGTTCATTTATTACATCCGCCGAGCACCGATGCCGGGCAGGTCTGATGCTGGGCACTGGGGCTGAGGGGGTGGGTAACCTCCCATGATCTCTGCCCTCACGAGCAAAGGGTCTGGTTGAAGAAACAGACATTGAGCAAAATAAATAAAGAATGACAGGGTGCTATGGAGAGTAGACAGGAGATCTGATTTAGACTGGGTGCTGGGGAAGAAGCAACAGGAGGGATTTGCTGGAAGGTGGCATTGGAGCAAGTAGTCAACTGATGAATGGCCAGCGGTAGAGAGAGCTGGGCAGAGGGGAGAAAGAGCCTGAGGCTCGAGGAAGGTTTGGCCTGTGTGTCCAACACGGCCCAAAGAATTAGAGCGCTGGCGGTAGGGGGCATGGATATTGCGGGGTGCTGGTTTCACCAGGCTTTGGATGAAATGGCCCTCAAAGTCTCCGCCGTCTTTGTTCACATTTATTTTCACACAGTCGCCTTTGGATGACTGACTGGGCTTCTCAGGCCCTGCGCGGTTTGGAAGGAAGGTGCTTTGAAGGGCAGACAGCGGTTTGCACGCTCTTATTTTAAGCTCACTCACGGGACGTGTGGCTTGAGAGCTACAACAATGAGGGTCATACTTCCCCCAGTAATAGGGCACCCCGGACACCCTCCCCCGGCTGCAGCCTGGTCACTGCTAACACTTCTTCCGGGGAAAACCCACACCAGCTTATCAATGCCCCCTCCGGGAGTACCACTGTGTAAATCCACGCCCAAAGGCCAGAGGTCCACGCCTCTCCTCGCTGGACTCCAGCACCATCTGGGTGCTTAGAAGTCTCACCACTGACCTGGGGGGAGGTTCTTAATGCCACAGGCTCTGGACTCCAGCACTCTACCATCTCCACATGGGCACGACCTAAGACCCGGGGCAAGGTCTTACCACTTACTGCTGTCTCGGCAGATGCTTACTAGGTTCTTAAGAGCCTGGCATCCTGAGGTCTGCTCATCTGGGGTTTAGGGTGTCTGCTGGGGATCTGCACAGGTGGTGAGGTGTAGAGATTAAAGTGTGCACTGGGGGGCGCCCGGGGGGGTGGGGCTCAGTCGGTTGTGAGCGTCCGTCTTCGGCTCAGGTCACGATCTCACAAGTTCGTGAGTTCGAGCCCCACGTCGGGCTCTGTACTGACAGCTCAGCGTCTGGAGCCTGTTTCAAATTCTATGTCTTCCTCTCTCTCTGCCCCTCCGCTGCTCGCACTCTGTCTGTCTCTCGCAAAAGTAAATAAACACTAAAAAAACATGACAGTGTGCGTTGGAATTCTGGATGTGCCACTGACTTCTCGGCAACCTTGGTAAAAATGATGTTATCTCTTGTGCCTCAGTTTCCTCTTCTAAATAAGGGGATTCCACAGCAGGCACCGATGGGGGCAGCTGTGGAAGTCAAATGACTTAATACAGGTAAAGTAATAGGGTGTGTAATATGGCCACGATGATCTCTTATGAAATTTCTGAGCCAACTGGAAAGAGAAAAAGGTCCTCGTTGCTCTGCACACGGCTCCCTCCAGGGTGCATGGGGTGGGGATGGGGCAAGAGGGATTGGGCTGGATTTCAGCGCCTGCCGGCAGGTTACTCATCATCTCCGGCTCTACTCCTAATGCTCATCATGTGGGGGCCTTGTTAGAACAAAGCCAGGCACATAACAGCAGCAAAATGCCTGTGCGTGAGCTAGAGCTCCGACTGACGTTCCTGCTGGCATGTGAGTTATAATCCCTGGTCGTAACAACAAAGGATGCTTATAGGAAGTATCCTTACCAACAAAAGTAAATGCGGGGTTCGGTTTCAGTGTCAAGACTGTGCCTTATGTAGTTACAGAGCATATTGAATGTAATCAGGTTATAGACACCTCTTTGGTGTCTCCATCCCATGGCCTCTCACTACTTGGTTCAAAAGCGGAACTAACTGGGCGAGCCTTTAGAGCCGGCGACCCTTGATCTCAGAGTCGTAGGTTCAAGCCCCACGTTGGGTATATACAGCTTATTTTATTTCATATACTGTTTTAAATTTCTTAAAAAGTTTATTTATTTTTGAGAGAGAGAGAGAGAGAGCAAGGGAGGGACAGAGAGAGACAGGGAGACACAGAATCCGAAGCAGGCTCCGGGCTCTGAGCGGTCAGCACAGAGCCTGACACGGGGCTCAAACTCACGAACCCGTGAGATCGTGACCTGAGCT